GAAATGAACATCAGTGTTAATAGCGCTCTTGACAGAGCTCATCAACGAACGTTACACTTTCCCCCGACACTTCGCTGAAGTACACGGTGAACGAGACGAAGAAGAAGCAAAAGATAATGTACAGGGAAAGCCGGACGTTTTTCAAAAATGACTGTGGCTTCTAGGTCGACCCAGCGTTAAATGGTAATCAGGTACAGACCTGGGAAGTAAAGGCGGCTGGAGTAATGTTGACCACATCACCCCCCGAATGTCGATTGGTTTATAAAATACAGTTCTAGGCCTATATGGCCAGTACGCCTAAAGGTAAGGACAAGGGTTCTTCACTTTTAGGAACGAGGGGTTCTCAGTGGCGAAGAGACATGTTCTTGGGAACGGAAAAGCAGTTAATTCACATACAACAGATTGGGAGCCGCATAGTTCAGCAGCTAGATGCTTTTGTGCCCCCATGAAAATTTTGAGTTCCAATCCGCTTCAAGTCGGATGCTTAAAATTAACTATCTTGACTCGCAGTTCTACTCAGTCTTAAACGGGTACAGGGAAATGACATGGGAAATAAAGATTACTGACCCCATTAGTGGTTGAGTCAGCATACGCAACCATGTTATTTACAGACAACAGCCATTTGCTCACATTGGTTTTTAAAAGGCTCACTTTTAATTTTTGACGCGCATAGTCTGCCAAACGATCAACAAAAGAGGTTTTTTGAGAAGCGAACCGTGAAAAACAAACGATGGGTGGCAGATGTTCAAAGCAACAACAAAATAGTTTAATTAGCATCCCCAGTAATCTCGCGATAAAGTGATAAGTGCGCAGATGAAACTAATCCCGTTGTTTGATCTTTTGTTGCATTAGACATTTTTAAGATTGTATTGATTGGCACTTATATTATTATAGATTGATGTTCGATAAATTCGCGCCACTCATGATTTACGTTATGTCTTTTGGCTGTTACCAAAAACCACGCCCTAGATAATTACTTTAAAATTATCGGAAGTATACAAGAATTTCCACGAAGCAAAACAACCTCCCCCCCCCCCCCCCCTTTTCCTCAAATATGTGGTTGTTTGGGCTGGTGATTTGTGTGTGTGTATTATGTGTGTGTATGTGTGTGTATGTGTGTGTATGTGAGTATGTGTGTGTCTGTTAAGGGTCAGAGGTGGACCGAGAAAAAAGATGCTGGACAATGTGACACCATGGTATGGAAGGTCACCTGAGCCACAAATTATTGAAAGTACACGAGACAGAAGGTTGTGGGTGATTACTAACAGGATTACCAATGCCACGCGGCATGGACCGTAATAAGAATTTTAACAAAACTCAGAAATGGAAATTAGATAAAGAGCTGGGTTGAAGTTAAAGAGCAACAGACTTTTGAAATCTAGAAACCATGACTTGTAAACCCTTTGACTCGGTACTATGGATATCACAACCCTTTGGCCTTTATGATAGATAGCGTAAATCTGGGAAATCTGTGAGTTTTCTGCCTACATCCGAGCGCGAACTCGGACCACAAGGAGTCTTTCACCCGGTCGCTGCGCAACTGGTTTAACCAGATTAGCAAAAGCAACAGGTAAGATGGTTTGGTCATCACACGAGTATGGTACACTACCACAGAGAGTCACGCTAAAGAAATAGAATGAGCAATGTGAAGAATATGCAAAAGATGGAACAGCGGCATAAAAAAATATTGATAAAGACTTTGGTCGAAACGTTCGGTTGTGGTTGTGTCCGTCTTTTTCTTTCCCTTCGAGTCTTAAAAAATGAAGACAAATTCAAATCATTAGAAAAGTTGTTCAGTTTCACGATAATCTCCCCACGGACCGCAGATACACACACTAGCTTACTTCTGATTGGTTGACCTTCAGTCACCCGACCTTCGCACACTACTACGGGGTGTGTTCGGCAATTCCGTTGATATCGCATGATGTATATTTAAGCACGCCGGCGCTTTTAACACTACAAAAACATTTAGAAACTGGGTCTAACAGCCCCCCACCCTCCCCCCTCCACCCCCCACCCCGAGAGTGCAAACTATGTCACAGGCATTCTCTTTCTCAGAAGAAAAAAAAAACGTAAGTGCCAGACAAGCCAGAACAGAAACAACATAGAGGCAACCATAACGCCCCCCCCCCCCCCCCCCCCAAACCACCCCCAGACAGCAAAGCAGTCTAAAACAAAACTATGAATGGAACGTGACCTATTTTGGGGTGAGAGTATCGAGGTTCACTAGCCTGGAACGCTGAGAGGACAACATGCAGCCTCAATAGGACTGACCCATACCGGGTCGACGATAGGAGAAAGAGGTCAACCAAACAAGCAGAGGTACCTTAAGGACAGACGACAGGACACAGTGGCCCAGGAAGAATACCACCATGCAGTATACAAGGAGAACAACCTTAAAAAAAAAATAACAGTCATACACAAGACACAGGATGCACAACCATGAAGATATTCATGTAAAACAAAATAGAACCCTAACAGGACCACAGGACAGAACAAGAGGACCCAGACTTGTTCAGAAATTACACAATAACATATTTAGGGTCAGTAAGCCACAACCACTAGCACGCGCGCACACACCCACACACACACACACACACATACACACTCACATACTCACACACAAACCCATATCAGCCATTTAACTCAGATACAAAAGTGCGTTGCGTATCATTAACAGGACGTTGCCATACCAACCCCATCATATATTTATTTTTTTCAGCTGTGCGTAATTAATTATTCAACGGGGGTGAGTAAAGTTGGGCTTAGTTGCGTTGAGTCAAGAATTGACATCACAGCACTCGGCGCATTCCCATGCATGCTCCGTCCTCATCTTCAGCAGCCAGGGTAGAGTTCCAATACTGATGGTACCGGTCACAATCTGGTTAAAAGTCTGTCTTGCCTTTCAACTGAGTGTAGTGAGCCGGCCAGACCCCATGGTTACACCGAGGTGCCTCATTCTCTCCAGGCCATAATGATCGTCTTTCTCTACTGATTCCGTTGCTTGTTCGTAAAGAGCCTTGACCACATCTGCCTTGTCACGTATCAATTCACCAACCAATGGTGCGGATCCAGCCAGTATGCCTGCCTGTTCATTACCCACTACACCGGCATAGCCTGGAGAAAAGATCAAAAGTATGCTCACCACCCGTGTCTTTTCCAGTGAAGCTTGCCACTCTGCTCGAAGCATCCCTGTCCTCACCTTTTTTCAGCATGCTTTCAGAGTCTGTTACAATTACGACATGTGTATGCATCTTGTTCTTTTGCCACCGAGAGCTGCAGTTACCGCCTCCACCTTCACCTCCACCTCCACCTCCACCTCGGGGATGAGTAGAAGTTCTGGAAGATATTCAACACTAAAAAAAGAAAAAAAAAGGGGGGGGGGGTCGGGTGGGAGGGAACAGAGGCGGACTTCTATTCAGGTTGTAACTGGTACTATTAGCTCGTCGGCTCTTCAATGGCTACAGAAGGAGAGGACTGAGCACGTATATGAATGTTCCACACTGTTGATTAATTGATTGTTTCCTCCACTCACTGTTTCCTGAACAATGACAAAGAAGATAAAATGTTTTTGGGAATTTTGTCGATAACGTCTGCTGCTAAAAAGGTGATAGTTCCTGTGTAGCGTGTTTCTTCCACCCAACCACATTTTCCGAGAAATTCCTTACGAAATCTAGGAGCTTTCGAGATGGGGTAAAATCAGAAAGGAAGAACTACAAAATGTCATCAACAAGCAGACACTGGTATACAGGATAAATAAAAGCAGAAGTCGCCACATTTATCACAGGTAAATGGTGCTATACCTCGTGCTATTTAAAACTGTCGTTACTGACTGTATTTTTCGTTTTTTTAGGACGTTGAAGGGAAAAAATGGGGCGGGAGGGGGGTGAGTCTGAGGATATAGGGCTTCGTTGCTAGTGCTGTCGTTACGAACAGGCAAACATTCTTACTCATGGTGAAGGCAATACAATCAACACTATCAAAACAACATTTTCAATTAGATGTGTTTGTGTCTGCATGCGACAGAAAACAATCTTTATCTTTTTACAGGGGGTCGATTCTGGGTCTCTGGCATAGGAGTCCGGCATTGTAACCGCTCGACTAGCCACAGCTCACCATATGATAAAACCGCTGCGATATCCAAACGGGATTTAAACGAGGTCGAGTCTTCTATTTTTATATTGACTTGGACGAACAGGGTCAACAACAGCGTGCCAGGTAATCATGCGTTCACTGCAGTTTTCTCTATCTCCAGGGCAGTAAGAGTAGCTGTTTTCATCCACAAGGCAGGGCTACCAATGCTGGGTTTTGCCCCCAGATCTGGGTTTTTATTTGACACCTAGGGGAAATCTGTTTTCTTTAAAAAAATATATCCTTATATAAAAGTGGTAAATGTTTTGTTTCGTAAATATATATTTTTTTAAATTTTAACAATCTGGGGGAGAGAGAGAGAGAGAGAGAGAGAGAGAGAGAGAGGGGGGGGGGGTTGTCTTTGTATCGCTTGGGTTTTTGTTCACTTAAGCTGGGTTTTTCATAAAAATCCCATTGGCAGCCCTGACTGGCAAGTTTCTATCTGTCATGCGGGTTTGGCCCACGACCTACGCGTTGTTTTTAACTACATGCACATGTTTACGAGCTCACACTCAATGATAAATAAATACACCCTGGTGACCTGTTTTCAAGAGTTCAAAACACGGAAATATGTCTAATCCATTGTTGTTTAGACGTTCCTGAGGGCCATCTGGCAAATCCATTAGAACAAAAAGTTGTAGTGGCTCCCGTGAGGGAAAGGCTAATTTTTTCAAGGTCGGACAAAAGAGTCTACGATAAACTGGCCCGTTGAGTTGCCAGATAGTGCGTTGTTCGTTTAGTTGTTTGCATTATTGCTTTTGCAAGCGGGAATCATGCTTGATTTACTGAGGCCTTGAGTCTTTTAGCTGTTCAGGCCAGCATAAGGTGCACAAATGAAATGTTATTCATTTGTTTATCGCCGACAATGAATGGCATCTGTTATTTGTCGCCGAGAACTAGCTCATCGCAATTACCCGGGTAAATTGGACATGTTCACATCTACACAACCTACATCTTCGGCGCAGGAAAAGTGATCTAAGGGGCAAAACAAAAAGTGATCGTTGTGTTCTATGGAAAAAGCGAGGGGGGAGGGGAAAGTTGTGGAAACATAATCGCCAACGCCAGTCAACAAGACACTCGATAACGATAAAGAGAATAAATAGCCAACAAATATTTTCACAAGTTGTGAAACTATTGGCACCTAGAGGTACACTTTTATTTTTCTTCATGTTCACCGGCTGTAAACTCCAGCAGAAAGTTCTGGTTGACCGAAAGACTCCTGGACTTTGACTTTATTCCAGAACTATCTGTTTTAGAGATCTTGCTTTTTTTAAATGCAAATTGTTGGTTCCTTGCATCTACGACTTCGAAGGAGGCACACCTAATTAGACCCATTTTAACGACATGATTATTTGGGGGCATTGGATTTTATCCCACCCCACATTATCCAATGGGGGCCTTGAACCCACGCGGGGAATAACTCCAGGTTAACATAACTTTAATCTCCCCCCAAAAAGTAGGTCACTTATCATTTACAAGCTTGTTGGGCTGGTCGACTTTCCTGAAGGTTATGGGTGTGTCACGCTCTTTTGTTAGCTTTCTGCGTTGTCTTATATTTACGTTTTCATTCCAAGAAAGAGAATGCATGTGACACAAGTTGCAGCACTGTGAGTCTACAAACCCGCTATTCACACCGTACTGGAGATTCGTTGCTGCAAACCTTTGGACGGCAGACATCAAGATTATCAAATTATTCCAACATGGCTATGGATTTTCCAGATTCAATCTAAGCCCTGCTCCAAATGTGGATTCCGTGACCTCATTTTGAGGAAATGGTGATTAGCCCCCCCCCCCCACCCCCCCCCCCCCCCCCCCCCCCTAATTAAAAAAAAAAAAGAATAGTATGTCGTAAAATGCGACTAAATATAAGTTTTCTGAAATCAAATGCGATGGGTCGAAAAGAGCACACATCTCAGTCTAGTAGTAAAACCGCAGCATATCGTGCCAACCGCCCTTTTAAGGATCAGCACGAAAGGGGAAGATCTAATCCTATCTATATTCTTTCTAAAACGCCATTCTATTTAATTCAGGCAATTTTCCAAAACACTACGTGTGCAGTGACACAGTTTAAAATCATTTGTCTTCGGTTCGCGACATGTGTCTTAGATAAATAATCACATGTTATTTACAACTACTGCCAGTTTAGACTGGTTTCTATTTAGTTGCATGAGTGGGTTTTAAATGAAAGCTGAAAACAAAATAATCGCATTAAAGGATTTAACTGACCTGAAATAGTCCTATTAACCGGATCTGCTACAGAATTTGTTCTCTGTGACACACCGATCTTCAACCTGTTACATATTGATCTTTACTGTTTACTACAGCATTTCCTAGTTTCAACTGTATAAACTTCCTGAGTATTGGCCTTGTCACCGCGTGAGCTCAGTATAATCGTTTCAGGTTGGAAAATAAATAAAAGACTTCAAACTTATTGTTCCTTCGAGTGGAATTCAACATTCATTGTTTTGTGTTTTTTATAACTAACCACTCTCTGGTATATGACCACAACTCACTCAACAACAGAATGTTTGTTTCTTTGTTGTTTCTATATTTTTATGTTACCCAAAATAATTCCTCTACGAGCGGCGGAGATGTGTTCTTTTTATAACCCCCCCCCCCCCTCAAAAAAGAAAAAAAATATTAACCATTGTTTTGTTTATCATCATCATCATCAATTTCCACTTCTGCCTTTAAGCGTTGTGGGGAGGAACAGTTTGCGATTCTTTGTTTGATGGGCCGCAATGGCCTATGTCATTTCGTGTCAATGTAGAAACTCTTTAATGTCATCAATCCATGTTCTTCTAGGACGGCCTCTTGCTTTCACCTCAGGTCCCTTAATGTGTAGTGCCTGGGTTGGTAGTTGTTCTGGCTGCATTCTTACCAAATGACAAAACTATCACAGCGAAAAGTGTTGGGGTTGGTTCTGCAATGTCCTGTAAAGGATACGCAACTAACTTTCTTTTCTGTGAATACTAGGGTCCTCGGAACACAGAGATTCAGCTTCTAAAGTCTTTTGCCCTCCCCCTAAGGAGGGGCATGGTGCCCCCCCCCCCCCCCACCACTTAAATTTGTAAGATGGCTATCAACCCCTCCCTCCCGTTCCCCACCCACCAAGTATGAATGAACTTGTCTTTTTAAAGATTTTGTTTATACATATATTTCTTCTTCTGCCCTTCTAGCTCCCAACATATATTACTTCATATATATTGTTACATTAATTTGCCACTCGGCACATTATTATTGTTATTTTTATTCTTATTAAGCACTTAAACTAATGCTTAGATTTCTTGGAACAGAAACAATAGATCCCCCGCCCCATAATAAGCTATCGTAAAAAGTTATTAATTATGGATTTGCTGAAATTTGACGTTTTGCCCAGAAATGTGCAGATATCGCAATCTAACTTTAAACCACAACACAATTTGCCAACCGATCTTACAACCAATCTATCTCGAAACGTCTATACGGATCAACATGAGTTTTTGCATGTGGCCTTAGATTCTGTAATTTACAGATGAACAAATGCTGCTGTTTTCTTTAAGCGGAAAATTGCTGTCATCTTTGACTCATATTTTCTATACCCCTGAACAATATAACGTACAGTAATTAACACATGTGTGGAGATTTTTTTGGGAGTCAGTCCACACGTGCAGTGATTATTTTGATAGCCTATTCCGCAGTCAATGAAAAATCAGCAACTGACGGGAGACTTAGGCGGGAGGTGACCACCTGAAAGTGAAACGCCTATGACACACGTACAATCTTATGTTTTGAATCTTCGTTGGCTGCTGAAGAAGGGAATGAAGCACGTATGGGAATGTCCCGATGTATGGATTCAATTCGTGATTCACTGATTCATTATTTTGATTGTTTCACTGATTGAGTAATTCATTCACTAACATTCATTCATTTTTTTATTCATTTATGCATTCACTAACATTCATTCATGCATTCACTAAAATTCATTCATTCATGCATTCACTAACATTCATTCATGCATTCACTAAAATTCATTCATTCATGCATTCACTAAAATTCATTCATTCATGCATTCACTAACATTATTTCATTCATTCACTAACTTTAATTCATTCATTCACTAACATTCATTCATTCATTCACTAACATTCATGCATTTATGCATTCATTAACTAACATTCATTTATTCATGCATTCGCTATCATTAATTTATTCATGCATTCACTTTTTTTTCATTCATACATTTACTGAGAAAAGTTGGTTTACTTTCACTAGAGTCACTGTAGAGTTATCTAAAATTTATGTCCTAGAGTTTTCTGAATTTCCTCTTGTAGACTTTATGCGGTAAAACAGGCAGAGTACTTACCAGGTCCTGAACAAATGTGGCAAGCTTCAAAGTATTCACAGGACAAACGATGGTTAAATAGCTGCCGTTGCTGACTTAGGTCATCAGTCACCCACTCATCAGGTCAAACAGGTACCAAACGTGGATGCACCATCCGGCGAGGTGGTCGAGCAATTAACGCTCAGGGCTGAGCATTTACCCTCCTTGATTGAGTGAGCGGAATGTCGTTAAATCAACACTAGTGCCCCATAGTCTCCCACGTTGCTCACATTTTTGGACCACGCGGATCAATGTGTGTCAATTTGTCATAGATTAAAACTTCAAATTGCTATTATACTTCTCCAGGGCTCCATGGAGACGTGGTGTGAAATATCAGTGTGCATGTGTACTTTGTTTGGGTGACACATAGGTCCAATGTGGGAAAATATTTTTTAGTTTCAACGGTGATGCAGGGGTCTGGTGTGTGGAAACACTGTGTGAATATGTGTCTCTAAAGCTGAAAGATTGGGTGTTTTATTGTGTGAATGCATTTTTTAGGAGGTGCCAGGAGCTAGTGTGAGAAAATACTGAGTGAATGCACTTTTAAGTAGATAGACGAGTTTAATGTGAGAAAATAATAAGTGGCTTTTAACCCCGCCCCACCCACCTGTAAGGGTTAAAAACTGCATACTATATGCAATAAATCACTGTCACTAGAGGTTAGAAGAGTCGGCTCTGTGGCTAAGTCGATGCGAACGCTTTGCTTCGTAATGCCGGGATGCCAGGTTCGATCCCAGCTGCGGGCTATGCGCCTTGCGTTGGTTTCGACAGTGGTATTAAGAAAGCCGACCGTCCAGGAAACAATGGCAAACTACTAGATGTAACTTGCTTAGAGAAACCACACAACAGCCAGGGGCTGTTAGGGTTGGTTCTGCAACGTCCTGTGAAGGATACGCAACTAACTTTAGAGGTTAGAAAAAGAATTATAGCATGTCATATAGGCTACATCAAGTTGTACTGTTTAGCCTTGAATCCTAGAAAATTAATAAAGAGGCCAAACAACTTATTGAGGCCTCGGAGATGTAGTTTTACAGAGGAATCCTTAAAATTACTTAGTCATCCAAAAACAACAACCCAGCTGTTTTGAAAAGTCAGGGGCCTGTAGACAACTTATAATAAACAGCACACAGAGACAGCCATATTTGTTTGATCATATTATGAGAACCATTCTGAAACATGTTGTGACCACTGAAACAATTGTTGTTTAAAGAGACAGAGGGAGACAACGCAAGACTATTCTTGAGAGCCTTTTATTATTGCAAGGAGTGGTGTCAGCACACGAACTGGCACATGCTGCCCGAGATCGCAAATTGTGGAGAGGCATGATCGCCAAGCCAGGCGATGGAATTCAAGGCTAAATGGAACTCTTCAATGCCAGAGACCCCAGACACCTGCTTCCGGGTCAGGTGAGTACTCAGAATTAGGAACAGGGCTGCCAATGCTGGGTTTTTACCCCCAGAACTGGGTTTTTATTTGACGCATTGGGTTTACATTTTGAAATCTAGGTTTTAAAAAAAAATCCTCATATAAAGTAGATAAATCTTTTATTTTGTAACTATAAATTTGTATCTTTTAACAATCTGGGTTTTTTATTTTGTTTTTTGTTCTTTGATTTATTTATTGCTTGGGTTTTTTGCTCAGCTTAGCTGGGTTTTTAAAAAAAAGTCCCATTGGCAGCCCTGATCAGAGGTGTGTATATTCTTAGACTTTGCACATCTTGTGTTTACAGGATACGATATAGCTTGTGTTTACAGGATACGATATAGCTTGTGTTTACAGGATACGATATAGCTGTGTCATCGTGAAACCTGATATCTCTACACACATACACTTACAGTCTCAAACTCTAGTGACACGGGCAGACACTAAGAACGTCGAGTCAGATCGTTGCTAAAAACACAGGCTTGTTGTCTTGTCAGCAGCTTCTTCTTACTCCATCCACGTCACACTAACATGGCAGGACAGGTTTGACTTTATTTTCCCTTCTGTTTGTCAGTGACTGGTTTTGTATTAATTTTGCTGTTGTAAATAGTGAAGCAAATAAATAATTTCACATATACGCCGAAATTACGCACTTATTCATATTCGTCGCTACGCACTTTACCAAAAGCCATAGACGTCCTTATAATGAATCAGATAAGTAAGTTACCTTACTCTTACTAAATCGAAGCACAGCAGACCTGAAAACTAATTAATATTAATATAAATTATAATAATATACTATATAAGTATAAGGCCGCCATAATATGTGACCGTTATTAGGAGGATAGCTCTATATAATAATATTAATACTAGGTCTTTAGTGTTCCAAATCACAAATCAGTTTCAGTTATTATCGATTGACCGTTTCTTGTATTATTGTGATTATATTAGCAACATGTAGATTGACGATTTAATGGAAACCAAACTCAATTTTTTAAGCCCTTAAAAAGGCAGTTGGCATGTTGCGTTGTGGTTTACAGCTATGCTGCGATATCTGTGCCTTTCGTCCCAACACATCCGCTTTCAGCAAAGTCTTAATTAGTCGCTCTTTACAACATGCTTTCGAGGTGGCAGTGGTTCTGTTCGGCGAGTCACTGGTAAAGTGAACAATAGATCAAAAATTATTCCTCCCTACGGCGCTTAACTTAACATCTTAACTTTGCTATCCATCGAGCACTGATGGCAGAAGTGGAAACTGATGATCATGGCCTAAATGTTTTCACTACATAACTTCTTGAGGCTCTCAAAGGAATGTTTTTTGCGGTGAATAATTTGGGACCGAAGAGTGCCAAAAAATGTATTTCTAATAAATGTGAAGCTTTCAATTTTTATTTGCTTTGATATCATTTCTTTAAATTAAAATATGAGAAGTGTCTTCTAGATTACTAGAGTCATACTTTACCTTACTATAAAATTATGTGGAACTTTGTGTGAAAGATTTGTACTGATAACTATCTTAGACCATACAACTTTGTTTTGCTCTGTCTCTCAATAATTTCACTGGTTGCTATATTAGGCTATCCTCCGAATAACAGTCCTAAATTATAGAGGCCGAAAATATACCCTAACAGGGCCTCGGTCACATGTAAATTGCAGACCTCTTCCGGCGACTACACAGCATACCCCGAAAAAGCTTTCGCCGAGTTAAAGTCACTGCCAAGAGTATCTCCAGCTACGCACAGAGCGGGGCTAAACTAGATGGCTGGGACTCACGAGCAGCAGCTACCTTATCTCATGCAGCTTCCTCCATTTTATTTGCTTGAGTCCCAGCCATCCAGTTTAGCCCCTCAGTGCGCGTAGCGGCGCGGGAGATACTCTCGATGGTGCTGTGTAGTTGCCAGAAGAGGTCCGCAATTTATATGTGTCTGAGGCCCTGTTAGGGTATATTTTTGGCCTCAATAATTTGGGACCATTATTCGGAGGATAGCCCTATATTATATTATCCAGTACTTCTCTTTTTATCACATGATCAAAGAATATAGTTTTGTCTCATTCTTAAAGTTGCATGTTTACTACTAACAGTGATGTGCCACCTCTGCAATGAAGGTTCGCTGCAGTGTTCCCAATGCTGTCATGGGAATATAATGCTCCAATCTCTTTCCTGATGCAGCTCTCATACCACCTTCGTAAAACCATGTGAACATTTTTTTCTTTACATTGTTTAATAAACAAGCCACTATAGAGATTTAAACCTAGTACTCAAGGATCATGAAACCTGTTAAACTCATTCACTAACGAAAGTTTGTTCACCTAAATCTGTTGATGAAATTTATGTCCTCTTTGAGTCCCAGAGGGTTTAGCATCAGAAGCCCAAGGGGTAGTCAAGAGAGTGTAAAATCAGTGCATGTTGCATTCACTGGGCTTCTAGGTAGGAACCTATGAACGTATGATCTCTTCCTTGCGACTGAAAAAGTTAAAGTTCTCTGAACTTCCTGTTGAAGAGTTAATACTTGTCTGAATATTGTGTTGAAATATTGTCTTAATTTCCTGTGGTCATCATCATGTAGCAGGTCCTTTGCACAGCATCAACAAGGTCTACTTAAAAGAGGCTTGGTCTCTCACCGGCTCTCCCACAATTATATGCTATGCCCATCTTCATGCTGGTTAGCCCCTGCCCCTCTTTCTGCTATTATTTTTTTCCCCTTGTCCATTGTGGTGCTTGATTTACTGTCGTGGAGTTATCTCAATGCTCTGTCCCTGCATGTGGTTGAGTAAGTGTGTTTTCCTGCATTGTAATTTTGCACGATTCAATGAAATGTTTGTTGTCACTGATTTAATCACGAGCTTATAGGAACATCTGTTCTCTTCCAGGTTTATGAGTTCCAGATGGCGATGACCTGTGAAGGCTGTGCAGGTGCTGCTAAACGTGTTTTGGGAAAACTACGTAAGTTTCCATGTTGCAGGTTATTGCAATGGTGTCTGTGAACTCCACGGTACCTGGCTCAATTCCAGCTGCAGGCCATTTGGCAGCAGATAGCCTTGTGTTGATTTTAACAGGGTTCTTGAGAGCTGGCCATTCACAAAGCAATGGCAAACTACTGAACGTAACATTTGCCCAGTAAAAGCAAAAAACCGATGCAATTAGCTGTGCTTGCAATATGTCGTGCTTACACTAGGACTACTCGTCTTCTAGGGGTTGATGTGGGTCTAGTGGATGATCTTACTCACATTCTAAGGTGACGTAGCTGTTGACAAGTCGACACCGTCTCCAAGATATAATACTGTTTATTGACATCTAATCAGTTACATAGATTGTCCCATCCATGTCCTAATCAACAGCTTTCACGCAACACATTGTTCAGACGCCAACATGCTGACTCCTCACACATTCACCAACCAGAGTTCTGCGTCTTCAGTTCCACATCGCCGCATAGGTGGATCTGGTCATTGCATCAAGCTTCACACAACTGACTTGGCTGGTCTTGACTTCGATGGATATTCTCATCTGGTCTTCCTCTCACATCAATCAGTTTCACGTTCTCATTCGCACGATCACTCTCATGTCCTCTCGTCCTGACGGTCAACACATACTGTCTGACCTTATATACCCAGTGTTCGTTTCACGTGGCAACACGTGGTCGTTCTTGGGTTCCACGTGGCGACCTGTGGTCGTTCTCCTTAGGTTCCACGTGATAACTTGTGGTCGTTCCCTATCTTGAAAACCTCGGTTAATCTGAGTATCTGGCTTCTCTCAGTATTATTGTTAACTTGGGGCTTTCCCCCCTAACCTTCCTAATCATGGTGAAAATATCCCCCATTACAGCCCAACATATAACCAGATTGTGACTGGTGCCATCATTATTGGAACCCTGTGTTGGCTGCTGAAGATGAGGACGGAGCACAAATGGGAATGCCCTGAGTGCTATGATGTCAGTTCTTGACTCGACTCAACTCAAGCAAAACAACCAACAAATACTGGTCTTGGTTCTGCAACATCCTGTACAGTAGGGCTGTTGAACTAGCAGGCCAAATTTGGCCTGCAGGAAGCCTACAAGTGGCCTGAAGAACATTGCCACTTGTATCATATTAATGATCTTTGTTTGCTGGCACTTGGGCCTCTGGCTCGTGACGATTCCCATTCCTAATATTTTGGCTCCTGGATAAATTTTGTTAAATAGACCTGCTGTAAAGAAAACACAACTAATTTTTTTTCCTATCACATGACCTGCGCTATTTTCTACAGGTAAACAAAATTAATGCAACGGCAAACTACCTTCTGCAAATTTTGCCAAGAATCCATAACAATCATGAAAAATTGAAATATTTTGGTCACTTGAAACGTCATGGAAGTCTAGAGAGAACAATAATGGAGGGGTATATGCCTGGGAAAAGAGGAAGAGGAAGGCCAAGGAGAAGATGGGTGCAGGATGTGGCAGATGATCTCCAGATGGGTGTATCAGACGCAGGACATCTTGCTCATGATAGGAAGGTTTTCGGGAGGGTTGTTATGGCAGCGAGGTTCCGCGAGGGACATGCTACTGAATGAATGAGCAAAATTAATATATTACAGGTGAAAGGGATAAAATAATTGCACTAAGATTGATCCCGAGGGGCTTTGTGTGACTCCACAAAGTAGCTCCTCCCCTGCAGATAATCTTGCATAGAGCACTAAATGTTGTAGCTACAGCATTAACTCTGATGGATCTTGCAAAATGAAGCTTGAATTCGGTAACTACACCCACAGCATGAGGCAAGTGGCTTAACTACTTTGCAGTGGAGTTTCCCAGCTTTCTTTGGTCTAAACCAGACAGTCTGTCATGTCTTAACCACTTTGCAGTGGAGTTTCCCTGCTTTCTTTGGTCTAAACCGAACAGTGACAAACCACTTTGCAATGGAGTTTCCCTACTTTCTTTGGTCTAAAACAGACAGTCGGACATGTCTTAACCACTTTGCAGTGGAGTTTCCCTGTTTTATTTGGTCAAAACTGGACAGTCTGACATGTCCTAACTTTTTAATCATCGAACTGCTTAAAAAGAAGATCACGAACCTGGGAATTCCAAAGAGAAAAAACATCTCTTTAAAAAAAGTTTTGGTACTTAATTTATAACTTACCCCTGACGTCACGACAACGTCACGGGAGACATTCCCAATAAATTCTAGGGTGTTCAGGTTGTAGTTTCTCGCGATTTATCTACTGTCAAGTTTAGGGTTAGGGTTAAGATTAGGGTTAGGATTAGAAGACACTAGATGAACACTCACAAAAAGCACCACACAACAGCACACTTGCACCCCTTGAAATAATGGACTGTCAGGTCAGCTGTGGATTTCCCACGGGAATTTCGTGTTTGGGGTACGTTATAAATTAAGAACCCAAACTTTTAATCCAGGTCACTTACTGATAGGGAGCCACCATGGTTCAGCAGTTAGATGCTCACTTGCTGATCCAAAGGTCACGAGTTTAGGTCCTGACAGAGCTGGACTTTTTCAAAATGACCTTGGCTCTCAGGTCAACGCAGCCTTAGGTGGGTACCAGGTGAAGTGTCCAGGGAAGTAAAGATGGCCAGCTGAGTGCCGATTGGACTATAAAATATAGGTCTAGCCGTGTATGCCCAGGACACTCAAAGGTGTGGAAAATGGTCTTTTACTTAACAGTAAATGTTTTATGAATTTGTGTAGATTGTTTTAAAATTTCATTTGGAAATATATGAAAAGAGTAGTCGGTAAACAGAAACGGAACAAAGCATTAAATGGAATACATTCTCCGGGACCTAAACAGAATTGTATTGGATGATTCATGCCGTGACCCTAATTGAATTCTAACAGTGACATTGAGGCTATAGGCAAATTGTGACATCAGAAAAGCTTTTAGAAAGACATTTTGTTTACAAGACCCCTTCTAACAGTAACAGTGAGGCTATAGGCAAATTATGACATCAGAAAAGCTTTTAGAAAGACATTTTGTTTACAAGACCCCTCCCCTAATGCTATTTTTACTGAATATTTTCATGTCCTGACTCCTAAATGAGAAGGGGCACAACTAGGGGCATTAACTAGACATTGCACGTGAACCGATTAAGCTGCGTTTACCGAAGTGAGTCACTGATAGAAATGCCAGGTTTGTAGGGTGAGGGGGTAGACACTTTTGTGGGCAGTGTTGACCAGTGTCAACTAGAGGACTCGTGCTGTCCGTGCAGAGATTTCTTGACTGGGAAACTTCCATTTTTGATTCTCCTAAAAACCAGATTTTCCAAGTTCAAGATTACTGTCCTGTAGGTTTCAAGGTAGGGTTTGAAATGTTTTACAAGCATAAATAGGTAAGTCCATAACCTGACTCTGCAAAACACAGAATTATCTTCTAACTGCAGACAATATCGCCTTTAAATGAATTAAACAGTTTTTAATTCCCTGAATGTTGAATTGACTTTGACACTTCCAAAATTGACTAAATATGTATTCCACCACATAACATTTTTAACTTGCTGTATTGACGTATAATGTGCTTGTTGTAGTGTATATGCTGTACTGGTGTGTAATTTGTTATGTTTTTTTGTTTTAATTTATTGTTGTTTTGTCACGTAGCTGAAGTGTCAAATGTTGAAACCAGTGTGGAACAGCAGAGAGTGTTAGTCACATCCACCCTTTCTCCGGATCGTCTCTTAGAGACCCTGCAGAAGACAGGCAAGGAGTGTTCCTACATCGGTGTTAAGTAGCTACCTCGGGTAAGTGTTCTTACTTCGGTGTTAAGTAGCTCCTCAGGTAAGTGCCAGATGCTTGTTGTTGTTGTCTGTTTGCTTTTATTTTTTAGTTTGTTATTTAGCCGACAGAGCATACAGCACTTTGTTAGTTTGTTATTTAGCCGACAGAGCATACAGCACTTTGTTATTTTGTTATTTAGCTGACATAGCATACAGCGCTTTGTTAGCTTGTTATTTAGCTGACAGAGCATACAGCACTTTGTTAGTTTGTTATTTAGCCGACAGAGCATACAGCACTTTGTTAGCTTATTATTTAGCTGACATAGCATACAGCACTTTGTTAGCTTATTATTTAGCCGACAGAGCATACAGCACTTTGTTAGCTTATTATTTAGCCGACAGAGTATCTTTAATGCACTTTTCTATAAATCGTCCTTTCTGCACTTCATACTCTTATGTCAATGAGTACAGAGACTCTCTCCTCAGTATATACTCCAGTGTGTCAATACCACTGATGTCTTGGTTTGCTGTACTTCGTATAGAATACTGTGTTCTCCCTGTGGGTTCCAGGGCCCCATTTTGGGGACAAAAAAGTATCAAACCCACTGACCCTCTAATAGGCATGTTGTACAAGGCTACTACTTAGGGTTTTTTCTTTTCGAAGTCAAGAGTGCATCTGTGAGTGCAAAGAAGAAGATATAGAATCCTCAATCAACACAACTGTTTTCATTAGCCATTATGTGCTTTGGGATTTACTAAAAAGTGGAGCCAGGAACTCATGGACTGACTGACTGTCTGGCTATACAGTGAAGATGGTTTGTCATCTAAGTATTTGTCACTTTCTCCCACTTCCCAGTTGTCACATTTGCACCATATTGTAGATCCTTGTCATCATTTCCTTCCATAAGTAAAACAATAAAGGACCCCTTTTCATGCATTCAGATTTATTGGGCACATAGGGCTAGACCTATATTTTATCAGGCACTCTGTGGGTGATGTGGTCAGCATCACGACAGCTGCGTTTACTTCCCATACTTTTTCTGGTACCTGTTTAAGCCTGGGTTGACCTGTGAGCCACGGTCATTTTTTAACCACGTACAGCGCAGTTGGGATTTGATCCCACAGCCTTTGAATCTGCAGACGAGTGCCTAGCTGCTACACCAAGGTGGCTTGCTATTTCCTTCCATACCAGCATAAAATTAACAATGGGTATTTCCTATATTTCAGGCTGCTGGTCTAAATCTAGAGTGGACTCTGTCCAAGAAATCAACAACAACAAAATGTGTCGTCTTCTTGATTGTTTGCACGTCTTGTAATATGGGTATACGTTAATCATATATATTGTTGTATTGATGTTGATGCAGTGTAATTTTAAACACTTGTTTTGAAGATTCCAAATTAAAATTATCAATTGTTATGCATATGTGAATAGTAATTCCATAGATTAATTGAATGTGGTTGTCAGCAAGACGTTTAAGTATTGTTGTAAAGGTCTGGTAGTTGTCAACTTATGTCAAGTTTATTGTTGTATCAGTTTGATTGTATGTGGTTGTCAGCTTATGTTAAGTATTATTTTTTTTAATGAATGTGATTGTATATGGGTGTCAACTTATGTTAAGTTTATTGTTGTATGAACATGATTGTATGTGAATGTCAACTTATGTTAAGTTTATTGTCGTATGGATATGATTGTAAGTGGATCTCCGCTTATTTGAAATAAATTATATATAATTATCATTGTGTACGGTTGTCAAACGTATCTTGAGTTTATTGTTGCACCATCAGTTTTCCATTAATCACAGTTCCAACTTCGCGGCACACAAGTCGCTCCATCATGTTCTGTTCTTGTGCCAGCAACAAACCACACACAATGTCTATCATTGTCCTTGTGAAAATATTGAAACAAACAACGGCAGTCTTGGCACAACTACTAGTATACTTCTGGTTTTTTTTTTTCTTCTTTACTTGATTTTTTACCACTTCAGGTGTCAAGGGGGATATACGGCCTGGCCCACAAATATATTAAATGCTAAGGCAGCCGTAAGATATGCCACAACCAACAGTCTGCCACCAAAGTTGCTGTCAGTGAAAGTAGCGGTAAAACTGTTTAAACAAAACAGCAGTTGTACATGAAGTATTGTATAAAGCAGCAAGCACTACCAGTTCTGTGGTGCCATTTTGGGAGACTTCACTTTGAAAAGCATTCCAGATGAAATCTGCAGCTCACAGTCGAGCACTCAGATTGGCAGCTGGGCAATAGACTTGTGTACCTTTAGTCAACATATGAGGGAAAATGCAACAGCTAATATACTTTTCAAGACGAAAACAGTCCGCCAGCCTATCCGCCATATTGGATTGAAAGTCTCTGCTGTATGAATTTGATGTGGAAGGCATCTTATGTTAAGTCTATTTTGGTAAGAAGATGGTTGTCAAACTTATGTTAAGTTTGTCGATGTATGGGCTTGGTTCTGTATCAGTTTATGTTATCAGTTATTAACTTGATTGAGAGAACCAAAGACATATTGAACATACAAGCCTGCCTGTATGCTACTGGGAATCTTCTTCATCATCCGTCCGAGTGACATAATTGCTTTGTGCCTGTTTAAATCACAGCTGCACTCTCTGCACTTTTTGACTGACCCGTGTCTTTGACAGTACTGGTCAGCTTAGACACTGCTTTGACGGTACTGGTCAGCTTTGACAGTACTGGTCAGCTTTGACAGTACTGGTCAGCTTTGACAGTACTGGTCAGCTTTGATGGTACTGGTCAGCTTTGACGGTACTGGTCAGCTTTGACAGTACTGGTCAGCTTTGACAGTACTGGTCAGCTTTGACGGTACTGGTCAGCTTTGACAGTACTGGTCAGCTTTGACGGTACTGGTCAGCTTTGACGGTACTAGTCAGCTTTGACAGTACTGGTCAGCTTTGACAGTACTGGTCAGCTTTGACGGTACTTGTCAGCTTTGACGGTACTGGTCAGCTTTGACACTGAAAGCAAGAGCTGATTTTATCAGTTGCATTAATCAAGCTACTACTGGTACTGTCAGAATTAGAACTGTGCTGGCTGCTGAAGAGGGTACAGGGTGATTGTGGGAGTGCTATGATGTAAGTTCTTAGCTCAGCAAGAACTGTCATAGTTGTCTCTATGTGGTGTTGTCAGTCAGTGCTCGTCTTTGACAGTTTATCAGGGCTTTTTTTGGGGTGTTTTTTTTAGTGGTCTTCTGTGACAGTTTGTCAGTGCTCTTCTATGCCAGTTTGTCAGTGCTCTTCTATGCCAGTTTGTCAGTGCTCTTCTATGACAGTTTATCAGTGCTCTTCCATGCCAGTTTGTCAGTACTCTTCTGTGACAGTTTGTCAGTGCTCTTCTACGACAGTTTGTCAGTGCTCTTCTGTCAGAGTTTGTCAGTGCTCTTCTGTCAGAGTTTGTCAGTGCTCTTCTGTCAGAGTTTGTCAGTGCTCTTCTATCAGAGTTTGTCAGTGCTCTTCTATGGCAGTTTGTCAGTGTTCTGGTAAGTTTATCAGTGGTCCTCTGTGACGGTCAGTTCTCCATTGTGTTGCTGTTGTGAGTAAGTAGTGAAACGAATATTGGAACAATAAAATAGTGTGACAGTGCGGATCCACATCTTTCGCAGTTTGGTGATGAAGATTTCGACTAGAGAAAGATGGAAGGTTATCCTTGCATGAATGGTTATTGCATGCTAATGGGGCTGTGTTTACATTTATAAGGAAAGAAATCTTGAAAGCTCACAAGACTTATTAATGGCAAACACTTCAGCATGCAAATTCATGTGGCTATAGCCTGATTAAACATTCTTGCAAAATTATGGGACACACGTGTAATGATGTTGATTTGTGAATTATATATATGCAGTATGTGATAAGTAGGACCACAGTTATGTTTTCATATTCTCATGTTTTACTTCATCTTTGCTGGGTCATATACAGCCAGAACATGTTTTCTTCTCCACCAACATTTGGACGAATCTGCACAGAACATGCTTGTATTATCATCATCCTATTTTGCAGTTATGTGTTACATAGTAAGTAAAAAGTAAAGGGCCCTTTTCCACACCTTTAGGCATATAGGGCTAGACCTATATTTTAAAGACAAATCAGCACTAGATGGGTAACATGGTCAGCATCACATCGGCTGTTTTTACTTCCCGGGACTGCACCTGGTACCCACTCAAGGCTAGCCAAGGGAGCAAACCCACAACCTTCTGATGTGCAGGCGAGCATCTAGCCACTCCGCTGCGGCAACTCCCATATGTCACATAGGACCTGCATTATGTTCTCACCTCCACAGTTCTATCCATTTCATGGATGGAATCCAGTACAGCAGATGTGGCTTCTCTCTGCAGTGTCCGTGTTAGGGTTTCTCTTGTAGGTAGTTGGGCTATCTTCCGAATAACGGTCCCAAATTATATACGCAGAAAATATACCCTAACAGGCCTCAGTCACGTGTCAATTGCGCAGTTCCGTCGTCTTGAAATGCGAGCTTCCGGCGACTTCTGCCGGCGCCAAATTGCAAACTTTCGGCAACCTCCGCCGAGATTACTCCCTGCGCCGCCCGATTGGGGCTAAACTAGATGGCTGGAACTCACGAGCAGCAGCTACCGTATTTCCTGCAGCTGCCTACGTTTTATTTGCTCGTGAGTCCTAGCCATCTAGTTGAACCCCAATCCACGCTGCGTGGGGAGTACTCTCGGCGGAAAGCGCCAGAAGTTCGCAATTCAGTGGCGCCGGTATAGTCCCCGGAAGTACACAATTGACACGTGACTGAGGCCCTGTTAGGGTATATTTTCTGCGTAGATAATTTTGGAGCGTTGTTTGGAAGATAGCAGGTACTTGAATGCATTGGTCAAACTAAACATTGAAGCTGCCATAATGTAGCGACCAGACACTTGTGGATCAGAACATCGTGGGTTCAAATCAATTGACATTTTTCAAAATGACCAAGGCTGTCACATTGACCCAGCTTTAAAAAGGTACCAGGCAAAGTCCTGGGAAGTAAA